AATGTAATTAACCTAAATAAATTTTGATTAACTATTTTAACCCCATGGTTTCAGTTCAAAAAGTTATTGGGCCAAGCCAATGGATTTGAGACATTATATTAGAAACCATTCTTGACTATGTCTTTATATTTGTTAATTCAAACATAATTTTAGTAAGTTAAAACTAAAATTCAATATTAAGTAGTGAGAAAATTCATAATTTAGATTCATATTCTATACATTACCTTTGAATCCCAATTTCCAATTTTTTTTAAAAAATATTTTATGAGAGTTAAATTTCTTTTGAAAGAAATTTATATGCTTATGTGATTTTCATCTAGTGGTTTGACTAATGGTATTCGTTTTTCTCTTTTATGTCAAATGTAAAAAAGACACGCGATTTTCATGCTTTGAATGAAAGGCATAGTCATAAGTCACATCATGGTTTGTTTGAGAATTTTGATACCTCAATTGATATATAATTAGCTTATTTTGAGTATAATTGAAGCTTTTTTTATATAGATTTTCTAGGTATCAAAAGAGTGCTACAAATCTTGTGAAGTTTGAGTGTCGCAAGGTTGATATGGCAAATTACCCAAATTGGTTTCTTATATTCAAGACTTCCTTATGGTTTTTGTTGAATTTTGACGCTAAATCTTGATTCAATATAAAAGTTAGGGTTGATGTTGTGTCCAAATTTAATGAGAGCTACCAATTGTTTGCCCATTATCAACGGTGGCTATTGACAAGTCTCTATTGATGCAACAACACAGAAAGTGGGATTTGGAACTTCTATAGACACCAATATCAGTTGCACCAAACAAGTATAGACTAATATAATTATGTATATACTAATGCAACAAGTTTATACATTAAGACAATAAGGTGAAATAACAACAAAATTCCTCACATAATTTCCTTAAATTCTTTTTTACTTGTGAATACTTTGATTGAAGACGTGTAGAAAAACGACAATTAAATTTCATGTTGATTATATAGAGTAGATTAAGCTCTTATATTTCACCAAAATTTAAATTTAAAACTAATAGCATCTATTTACTCTGGCATATTCTACATAGTTGGATTTTAGGATAAGGACAAAGTACCTACATACACCATCAAATCCGCTGAAGATCCCCGTACATTGAACAAGACATTACTTTTGTCAGCAAATTTTGCATTGGTGAAATGTGTAGTTATTATAAATGCATTTTGTGAACTACAGTGCTAGCCAAGTTATTAGATATATCATCTAGAAATATTTCTTGTCTTTATCAAAATTTTCTCTGCACTAATCAACTGACCGTTGGTTGTACCAAATATGTGGTCACTAAAGAACAACAATCACGTAAAACAACCATGATTTTAGCATTAGGGAAACACTAGATATATCTTCGACCTCAATAGAATGTTCTTAACAACCATGATTTTGGGATCAGGGAAACACTAAATATATCTTCAACTTGAATAGAAAGTTCTTACTCTATAAGAAAAGTGTTAGGAAGAAAAACTCGAGAGAACTTACTGAAGAGGTTCAATATGTAAATCAGGAATCCAACGTTGAATGAAAAGTATAAATTGTTAGGTTTCAGACCCTTAACTATGTATTAAGCGCTCTTTTTCCATCTCTTAAATCAACATGGGACACAATTTCCTATTCATAAACGTAACAATCACTCCCTCTTTTTCAGGTCTACTTTTAATACTCAATAGAAGTCTACTTTAACACTCAAGGTCATTTCTTTTCTCAATCATGGGCCTAATCTTTTCAATATTCAAACCGGATTTTGAACCCTTGTCAACCCTTAACTCCTTGGTCAAGCACTAACTGGACCCTCTGCCAAACCTTTAACGCATCTTATTCAATATCAGCCAAAGTCTTTGACACTTCAATCTACAACCAGAAAGAGAATTTCATTGGACCAACTCCAAGAAGAATTCATTTACTAATGAATAATCTAGTCCCGTAACTAGAAGCCCTGATACCAAATTTGTTAGAAATTTGGTTTAATTTCTTTTAGATAGATTTCTTATTTTTGTGTGGAAGTAACTAGTTTTTTAATTATTTTAGTTACTTCATGTAGTAGTTTAGGAATTTCCTATTTATATGAGTTAAAGAATTAGAAATTATTTCCTATTCTATATAAGATTAGGAATTAACAGTTATTTTCTGTTATTACCTGAATGTTAGTCAAGTAATGTGGCTTATAAATAGATAGACGTTGACATCCTACAAAGTGACATATAAGGGGTAATATGTAGCCTTATACATGGATTAAGAGAGGGTTCTTTGAAAATGAAAGAAATTATATAAGGGTAGGATTTGGATTCAATTATATTCTTATATGATATTTATTCTGTCATAAAAAAGATCGAATTTCTCTCCATGAATGTAGACTCAATAATAGAGGTGGATCACATTAAATATTGTGTGTCGTTTATTTTGATACTTGTGACTTGTTTGTCATTAAATTATTGTGTACTTGATTTTTCAACAGTAGTTTATTTCTCATCTAGATCCCAATAAACTGGTATTAGAAAGAGATTTATTATTGGATCCTAGTTGACTATTGAGATAAAGTGAATTGGTGGCCATTATTAATTTAACAATTGAACGGGTGATATCCTTGTTTTAAGGATTTGGCAAGAAGTATTGGAGGTGAAGGATGGAAAATTAGAAAGCATGAAAATACTTGATGGTGAATCTAGATAGATGATTCAAGATGGAGTCCAATGTCGATTTTAGACTTGAATTAGTGGAGACGTTCTTACAACTCTAACAGTTGATATTTCATCCCGTATAGTTTTTAGATTTGGATTATATTATTGGATGGTGTGGCATATATTCTGAAGAAACAAAAGAACCTAATTTTCATGCGTTAGAAGACTCTAATGCTATGATTTTTTCATTGTGGGTAGAGTTTTAAAAATCATACATGGCAAAACAATCCAGAGAGTGGAAAGAAATATGGTGATTTTGCCCCTTGGTTGTCTCAATGGTTAAAAATAGAGCTCACAATATGGAATCCCAAGTTGCAAGTAGTGGTAAGAAGAAAATCTTGTTAAAAGAGATAATGAATTGAGACACATTCTCGCGAGTCAACAGGAGATTAGACTTGGGGTTAACTACTCATATTCATTTGTTGATTGAATTAATTTGGTACCAGAACTATATTGATTTAGATGTGTAGTTTGGTACCATATTATTTGGTAGTTGACGATAAGTGGTTGTTAAAAGAAATATTCACTAAGGTGGAGATTTGTTAAGAAATTGACTTAATTTCTTTTAGATAAATTTCTTATTTTGGATCGAAGTAACCAATTTTCTAATTGTTTTAGTTATTTGAGATAATAGTTAAGAAATTTCCTATTTATATGAATTTATAGATTAGAGTTATTTCCTTATCTGTATAAAATTAGGAATTATCAGTTATTTTATGTTATTACTTTAGTATTAGCCAAGTAACGTGGCTTATAAATAGGTGAAGGTTGGTATATTACAAAGTAATACACAAGAGGCGACATGAACTTTATATATGGGTTGAGAGAGGGTTTTTAGAAAATGAGAGAAATTATACAAGGGTTGGACTTGAGTTCATTCTCTCATAATAGAGAGTGAGTTTCTTTTCATGAATGTGGGCTCAGTAATGGATTATTTTCGTGAATCTCGTTAAATCTTATGTATTATTTATTTCATACTTGTGGTTTGTTTAGCATCAAGTTGTTTTTTTTTATTTGATTTCTCAATAATAGTTTATTCCACGTTTGAATCCCAACAAAAAAAAAAAAAGAGCTAAAGAAAACTCGCGGAAGATGGATTTTTAGCTTCTTGGAAAGGTAAAATGCAAATTTTAGATAATGTATGCAACAGATCTTAATTGCATTCATTTGTGTTCATACTTTAACATACATCATACAAGCACAAACTTTGGAAATTAAGTTGGAATAGGACATGGTGATTTAACAGACTTTGAAATTGGAGAAAATGGAGAAATAGCTTCTTATCTTTATCCTAAGGTTGAGTATTTTTGTATGGATGCATTTCTTAAACAATACATTTAAGGACCCTTAAAAGATTTCAGATGTCATAACTACTTAAAATTTCTATCTTTCATTGATCATTAAATGCTATTTTTGGGCATACGAATGAAAACTTGTTTCGAATAAAAGTTATAAATGATCTTCTTAAGGATTTGTAATGCATAGTTCACTAGGAATCTAGGCTTCGAAATAATTATTTATGACCAAATTCTAGTATTTTTGTTAAGGTATTTTGGTTTACGTATCTATTGTTGTTACGAATTTATGATTACATATTAGACTATCAATCACTTTTAGAGGTGTTAGTGACAACCTAATTATATTGATCCGTCCAAACCCGTCCGTTAATAATTGGACTTGACTAAGCAATGAATTTTGAATGAATCTACATGAGTGACCTAATTAAACTCATTTAATTGATGGGTAATAGGTAAACCTGCAGCACTCATTTATATCCATTTAAAAATAATTACACATTTAAACTCAATTTTTGGTGAGTGTAAAGAGGATAAATTGAAATTTCTACCAATCCAATAACAATCAAATATCATTATTTCTTATCAAACAACATGCAAATAATAATAATAATAATAATAATAATAATAATAATAATAATAATAATAATAATAATAATAAGTAGATTTCGAGTGGGTCATAAATGGATAATTGGATATACCTATACCCATATACCCATTTATTAAATGGATATGAATAGATTGACCCATTTTGACATATTTATTAAACGAATATAAATGTGTTAACACAATTATACCTATTACTCGATTATGATCTATCCAAACCTGTCCAAGTTATCCATTTTAACACCCCTAATCACTTTCAACTAATATTGTCTCTTAAATTACAATGGGTATACGGGTATAGGATCACAATGGGTATATGGGTAAAGGAGCAATCACATCGAAGTTACTATTTTATGCTCTGAGAAGTTGATTATGAAGTCTATAATGTTACATTTGTTCTTTTTGGTTGGTAAGGAATAATAGCACTATACTAATGGAGTTTACGTGTGAAAGACAATTAAGAATTATCTTAAGCTATAAAGTAATGATGAAGGACAACCAGAGTCAATAAGTAAGGAAAGACTACAGAATATTAAAGATAGTACAAATAAATATCCTACAAACAATGACTGAGAACAATTAGAAACAAAGACAGAAATCTTACAATCGTCAATTCCGAGCTAAAATCCAGTAAATCTGCAATAGATCACAAGCATCATCTAAGACAAATAATGGCAAATCCAAAACTGCGTACCAAATTTAAGCTAACTTAACAACAACCACTCAACTTAACTTCTCCCTATCTCTCACACCCATTCAAACCAAACTTCTCACAATTGATATCGTTTAGAACCAACTCAGAAAACCCAGAACCAAAACAATTGAATTTTCACAAGATTTCTTGAACGAATCCCACCACAATTACACAAATCAGAACCAGCCCAACATCAAAATTCAGCTGAAAAAGCTTTTAAAACTATAATCTTGAACAAATGAGCAAAGCATCTATGCAAACTCACTTGCTTATACAAATTTCTTGAACAAATCCCACCAAGAATTACGCAAATCAGAAACAGCCCACCATCAAAATTCAGCTGCAAAAGCTTTCAAAACTATATTCTTGAGCAAAATTTCTGTGCAGACTTACTTGCTTATATACTTGTAATCAACAGGACAAGATAAGAACAGAGCTCTGTTGCCAGCTTAACTTTGCTTCTTGCTGCTGCCTGCTGCTGATTCTGATCACAAAAGTGGCTTTTGAGAGTTGTTTGGGCCAGACTCTAGGAGTTATACCATAAAAGCATTTTTAGTTTTACTGCTAACAAACGGGGCAAAGTGCTAATAACCCTTGTTTTTATTACATTTTACGTGTCTTCAATGACAGTTGAAGGCCGGTTACAAAGTGGCACCTCCATCGGAGAGGCGTGGTATACTTCCTTTCGGTTTTGTTGTCTTCAACAAATTGTTCTTACTTGGAAGCAATAAAAACACCTATAATAAGCATAGGCACCGTTTTGGATCAAAGCAAAGGAAAGCAATCCAATGAAAAATGAGAAGAAAGGAAACGAGGAATGTGATTTTCATCAATCTTGTTCGAAATACATACTTGTAGAAAAATAAAAGAAACCCTTGATTATTTATATTGTTTGAGATGGGGACGGAAAACAAAAGAACGAAAAACATTAGGTATTTAATCCCTTATCCTCTTTTTTTTTTTTTTAACTCATCCTATCATTCTCATGAAAATTTTATGAGATAATAATTACCACAATGAAAGAAACATTTTTGTATTTCAATCTTTTTATTGGAAAGAAATTACAACAACTAACACATGAAAAAACAAAATTTTGCAAATGGGATCAGCATTTTAGTGAATTTGGTTGATTTTTAGGGATGGGATTCTTAATCCTAATAATCAAAATTATATCACACTAAAGATAAACCGTGGAATAATGAATTGTATTAAAGTATCATTTATTACCAACCTTATAACGTATGTGCCCTAATTTCATTAACTTGACGTTAATTAAAAACCAAGTGAGATGCATAATAAATTTGGGTAACAAAGGATCAAAACATTCACTTTTAAAATGCAGCCTTGCTAAACTAGCTTCTTGATTCCATTAGAGGAACATTTCTTAGGATCCAAATTAAACCAAGTTCATGGGAAAACTCACAAGATTAGTCTATCCAATATGGATACCCCTATTTTGTTGGCTTTGTCATATGATTCTAAAGCAACAGCTCAGAATACTACTTGGGTTGTAAGAAATGAGATCAATTCCACCCAAACTGTTAATGTTACTTGTGAACCAGATACAAATCCAAAGGTTGTTACCTTTGGAGAAGCAGCTCATATAACAGCCCAAGAAACTGTACTTCTGATCAAACATCGATGTGGTGCTTGTCATTTCAGGTATCTTGGTCGTGTTCTTGCAATAAGCACTACTGGAGATGTAATTTCCCATAAGAAGAACTTCATCAAATTCAATGAAACTGGCCCGTATAGAAGGAATAGCGAAATGGAGAAATGGCTGTACAACGATAATTCAACTTTGGTGCCATTTTATGGTCCATGAGAGAAATTTGTACGAGAAAGCATCAAGTGATTGTATACTTGTTCTCTACTTGATGTGCAAAAGGCAGGGCGTCACTAGTAAATCAAAGACAGGCATTAAGACTTTCAATAAGAAGGTACTAATTCTTATGGTTGTAAGAATAAATGTCACAATGTTTATTTTTTTCAAGTGTCCGACCTATACAATGCATTTTTTAAATTTAAATTATTCCCATTAACTGAAATGATGTTTTCATTAGTTTCTCTAATGGATTAGGTTACCCTATTTTGTTATGCTTATGGTTTTATGTTGTTAACTCCCAAAGTTAAGAGTTAAGCAATTTGACAATTTGAGGTATATACAGATCGCTTCTAAAGGAAAATCCATTAAGGATGATACATAAATTGGATAATAGTGATGACGGTGCATTCGATGTGTGTGCAATTTAAGAACAATCATTTTTTACATGGAAGAATTTAGTATAAATTTTTCATGAACAAAAAAAAAAATTTTTTTTTGATCTTTTTAAAGTTCTTAAAGTATAAATTCGAAGCTATAACATCTAATTATTGAATTACGATGGTAATTTTAAGTATGTGAAGGGAAATGACGACCAAAAACTACTTGATAGTTACATACCCTCATCACCTTGACTTTAATTGCATTCTAAGTAAATTTAAGTTAGTAAAAGTGTGTAAATTATAGGGTGTATGAATGTTATTACACGTTAGTAACTTTAACCAATTGGTCCAAAATTTTGTTCAGTTTCTTTGGTGCTATAACAGTACCAATCATACAAAAGATTCAATGCATGACACTCTTCTTTAATTTACATCAAAGTTCGTTAGAAAAGAAATAAAATAAAAAACTTTTGTCCTATCTTGATTTGTCAAGTTCATCTAAAGGAAATATGTTTTTTTCCTTACGATTTTTTCTTCACTAATTTCATTTCTTCATATTATAATTCAAGTTTTGACAGAATTTGAAATTTCATATATATTTTTGTAGTGAATAATGGCAGCTAGTATTATTATTGTCTTCCGAAGAAATTCATGTTTTTAATTTTTATTGGTCTTTAGTGAGTTTAGGATATCTAAATAGGTTTTTCCGTAAGTTTTACATTTTAATTTTGGACTTTATAATGGCATCAAATTTGGATTTATAGATAACATTTTTAACTTTTTATTTGCACTTTGGATAAACTTATTACTCATATTGTAAAACTATCTAGATGATTTTTCATTTGATTCAAGTATTTTGAAAAGTACAGCAAAAGTAATTGTATGTATGAGTTTCAATGAATAAAGGTACATTTGGATGGTTGTTGTATTTGGGAGCAACTTTAAACAATATTTACTGCAAATATTTCTTTTAAAAACCAACCTTTAATGGCTATTTATAGAAAAACACCAAAGATGGTAGAATTACACAAAAATTACATCTCAAACTCAGTCTTTTCTTTTAAGACTACAATTCCAAGTTTTGATTTGTCCAAAAATGTTTGAAAGGTAAAAGTTGATGACACTAATCATGAACATTGAAAAAAGTAAAAAAAGAGACTATGAAGTTGAATGAGGGAAATTTGTGATTGAGGGAGAGTTGAGGTTATGAGATGAAATGGAAAGCTAGTATAATATAGTCTAAATGGGGTTGCAGAGAGGGGTATAGGGTAAGGGAAAAGAGAGATACAACTTGTGAAGTGCAGAAAATGGAATGATTATAGGAATGGAGAAGATGGAACTATAGGATGAAAGGAAGGGGTATTGCAAGGCAAAATTATAGGATGGGAAAAGTGACGAGTGGTGGAGTGTGATGATTGCATGTTTGGTTTGTTTCTGCATATTTCCTTAGGTTTTTTTTAGCATTTTTAGTTTATATTAGGTATTTAAAAAATATTTTAAAATAAATTAACTTAAAAATTACACTTTTTAAATTATCTATATTTTTTATTTCATATAATAGCGTTTATCACTAATTTTATTTTTAAATTTAAAGTATAAATTTGTGCATGATACGAATCAAAATGCTGGTAGGAGTCAAAGATATATTACTTTGTAATGGCCAAAAACCCTTCATTTAGACACAAAAAAAGAGAAACATTAATTCAATAGCAAATAGATGTTTAGGATAGAAATGAAGTAACTGCTCAATAGCAAATATTTGTTTAGAGTAGAAGTGAAGATTGAGAAAATAGTTGTTTTAGGATATAAGCTATTGAGCAATAGTTGTTTAGGATAGAAATGAAGTAACTGCTCAATAGTAATAGTGAGTGACCCTTGTTGTTTTGAACCTTGATTCTTCATTTTTTCAGTTGTTTAAGGCCTTTAATGTTATAAAGATCCAACCTCTAGAAGATAGACTGTATTGATTTGCAGGAAGAAATTCACAACATTGTTTCCACTCTTGTATGAAAATACATGACAGAGGGATTGTTCTCACCTTGGGGAACACCTCAAATGCAGGGTAATATTTTTGTTTAAGAATATGTTAGATAGACCTAGTGATATGCAATGTTACTAATGTTGTTTTTTCAAGGCCTTGGCTCAAATTGACAGTCTTAGACATGAAATCAATGAGTTTAATTGAGAGAAGGACAAAATTCAAAGACAAATCAAGTACGTTGATTTCGTTGTTCACTTTTTCTGCATTCTTGTACTAAATTGTCTAATTATGTTGAAAAAGGACAAGGTGCTCAACAACAAAAAACAAGAAAGTTTGTCCATTTACACCCAAATTAATTCTGCTTCTGCTTCCGATTTTGTTGTTAGGATTAAGAAATTCTAATTTTTTCCTTTCTCACCAAATCTGTCCTTCCAAAAGGGCTAGTGCCTCCTAGAATCTAAGAGGTACAACTGTCATCGTCACCCTAGTCATCGGAAGAAAAAGAGGTCTTCTACATCTTTTATTTCCCCAAAGATCATCTTCAATATTCTTCTCTTCCTTCCTACTAATCCATGTGATGAAATATGTTTGTCGAGAGTAGTATAATATAATCTCTAGCTCTACTTTCATTGATGTACACCTCCTAAAGGTGTCGATTTGTATAAGATTATCAACAAGTTCTTGGAATTCCAATTGTTGAATCTTTGTTCTGAGTTTTCTTTTTTTTTTTTTTTTCAATTTCATTATTTTACCTATTATTGTTAGTATGTAGAGTAATTGCAAGAAGGGTAACATAGATCTGTGTCCTATCAAGATAGTTGATGGTATATTTGCCTTCTTTTTATTCATTATTAACCATATTTCTTTCATTTTCCATCGAGTTATTCTGTACAAACCGAAGAGTATCCAATGCTCACTTGCTTTTGTTAACTTTGTATGAAAAGCTGACTATGATTGTGATTCTTGTAACTTAAATTAATTCCTGAATCCTTTTGTATGGCTAAATAACCGTGTTCCTGTTGCTGTAAGCCTGCGTTTAATACTTTATCTATTTACTTCAGTTTTCTTAATCTTTGGTGTTTCTCAATTTATATCATTAAGGAATTTTGATTTTTTTTCATGTTAGCCAAATTTAGCTGTATTGGTTTTCTTTTGGTTTTCCTAATGCTTTTGGTTAAATTTAGAGTCAAATTTCCATGCATGTTGCTTCTACAAACTAACTCATGATTTTTGCAGCATCCACATTAACAGTATATAAATTCAACCTCAGACTAGTATTTTGTATTCTTTGTTATTTTAGCCACTTTTGTTCTTTCATGTTGATGAGTTTTGAGATTAATTAATGGTATTCTGGTTTTAGGTGTTTAATGATAATGAGTTT